TTCTCTATTAAGATCAGTAGAAAAGTTTAGTGCATTTAAGACTTTACTCATTCATTCATTCATTCAGTAGCATGTCCCTCGCGGAACCTCGCTGCCATAACAACCCTCCGGAAAACCTTCCTATCATGAGCAAGATGTCCTGCGTCTGATACACCCATCTGGAGATCATCTGCCACATCCTGCACCCATCTTCTCCTTGGCCTTCCTCTTCCTCTCTTCCCAGGCATATACCCCTCCATTATTGTTCTCTCTAGACTTCCATGATGTTTCAAGTGACCAAAATATTTCAATTTTCTTTGTTTTATTGTCTTTACTAGCCAACCCTCTTCAATATTCAGCTCTTGAAGTATGGATGCATTTGTTCTTTTCTTTACCCAAGATATTCTTAGAACCTGTCTGTAACATTTATATTCAAATGCATTTATGCGCTGTTCCGCTTGTTTAGTAAGTGTCCAGGTCTCACAGGCGTATGTTGCAATGGGAAAGATGCATGCTCTTAAAAATCTGACCTTTGTAATTCTATCTGTACAATTCCATAATTTATTCAGTTTTTTTAGTCTTTGAAGAGCAATTGATAGTCGCCGTTTAATTTCTTTCATTGCGTCACCATTGTTGGTAACCAGTGACCCAAGATATTCGAAATTTTCCACCACTTCCAATCTTTCCTCATTAACATATATTTCGTTCTTTATGGCAGTTTTGTTTGTATGCATTATCTTTGTTTTTGCTGTGTTAAGAAATAAGTTATGATTTTCACTATTTCTTTGGAGTGAGGTTAATAAGTTTTCTAAACCATTTTGTGATGTTGATAGTAATACTGTATCATCAGCATAACGAATTTCTGGTATTTCATGACCACCGATGTTTAGGGCATCATATTGTTCCTTGTTTATATCATCTCTTACATTTCTCATTATATTTTCGGCGTACAGGTTGAACAAATAAGACTTTACTACAAATGGAAAAAAACATTAACAGTTGATGTTGAGACAGATTTCTCCACTGAGCATATCAAGCTTATACCCTTCCAAGTTGATTACACTGTTGACATTTCTGTCTTATGCTGCTGTGCAGAGGGTCACATCACCAAAACTAGAAGATAAATTCATGTCAAACACTCATTTTTGCCTTCACTCATCTAAAACCATACATGTATGTCTATGAGCATGTTGATTTGTAAATAGATTGTTTGCAGCAGCCTCTGGGTAAGTGGAAAAACCATGTTCATAATTTACTAACTGACCTCTCTCTTTACAAATTATGAACTAACAGTATATGTTGTAACAGTATGTGTACTAATAATAATCTTCAACCGTTTGGGTTCATTTTTATGCATCTTCTTCTTCATGTTCACTGGCTGTAAACTGACAGAAAGTACTAGTTCTTCATCTACTTCTGAACTTAAGTCTTGTTCCAGACAATGGTTGTTGCGTGCACATATGTTATAAAGATCAGACTTATTTTATGCAGACTGCTGGTAAATGCATTTCAATTTTGAAGGTAGTCATGAGTCAACTCTTACGACATGCTCAATGAGGAGGCAGTGAGTCTATTCTTGTTTGGCTCAATAAGAAGGCAGTCAGTCTATTCTTGTTTGGTTCAATGAGGAGGCAGTGAGTCTATTCTTGTTTGGTTCAATGAGGAGGCAGTCAGTCTATTCTTGTTTGGTTCAATGAGGAGGCAGTGAGTCTATTCTTGTTTGGTTCAATGAGAAGGCAGTCAGTCAATTCTTGTTTGGTTCAAAGAGGAGGCAGTGAGTCTATTCTTGTTTGGTTCAATGAGGAGGCAGTCAGTCTATTCTTGTTTGGTTCAATGAGGAGGCAGTCAGTCTATTCTTGTTTGGTTCAAAGAGGAGGCAGTGAGTCTATTCTTGTTTGGCTCAATGAGGAGGCAGTCAGTCTATTCTTGTTTGGTTCAATGAGGAGGCAGTCAGTCTATTCTTGTTTGGTTCAATGAGGAGGCAGTGAGTCTATTCTTGTTTGGTTCAATGAGGAGGCAGTGAGTCTATTCTTGTTTGGTTCAATGAGGAGGCAGTGAGTCTATTCTTGTTTGGTTCAATGAGGAGGCAGTCAGTCTATTCTTGTTTGGTTCAATGAGAAGGCAGTCAGTCTATTCTTGTTTGGTTCAATGAGGAGGCAGTGAGTCTATTCTTGTTTGGTTCAATGAGAAGGCAGTCAGTCTATTCTTGTTTGGTTCAATGAGGAGGCAGTGAGTCTATTCTTGTTTGGTTCAATGAGGAGGCAGTCAGTCTATTCTTGTTTGGCTCAATGAGGAGGCAGTGAGTCTATTCTTGTTTGGTTCAATGAGGAGGCAGTGAGTCTATTTTTGTTTGGTTCAATGAGGAGGCAGTCAGTCTATTCTTGTTTGGTTCAATGAGGAGGCAGTCAGTCTATTCTTGTTTGGTTCAATGAGAAATGACTTCTAAAAACAATATTTTCACAAAAAAACCAACTTTATATAAAACTAAATTTGCCTATAATTTTATAGCCTATGTCCCAAATAACAAGGGAATCAAACTAGACCTAACTGATACTGAAGAATATTGCCTTTTTCACTAATATTTATTCTCTTTGTACCAGCTGACTTTGTTATCGCTGAAGGCTGTGCGTGAGGTTTATCACTTTGCTGATCAGCAGTCCGGGGCATTACTGTCTCCCATTGCCAAGGGTATTTAGAGACCTTTTTTTTTTGCATATACATGACTGGTTTTCTTATTAAAGTTAAAAAAAAAAGAACGAGCATAGGATTTTGAAACCTACATAGCACCATTATAAACGGTTACTACACATAAAAAAAAAATGTGTGACACATGATCATGGAGGCCATCTTGAATTCGTTTGGCTATTTTTATAAATTTCAGGAGATGTTTTAAAACCATCATCTTTCCGGTTCTTATTGAATTTTTCTCTATGTCAGTGCATTAAAATGTTGGGGACATGATTGGTGATGAATAAAATTAGCTAAATAGGAGCACATTTTTCAACAATTGACCAAATATTTTAACATTAAAAGCGAATAAAAATGTTAATAAAGTATATACATTTTTTTTTCTGTTTCTGTTTATTTGTCATGTTACAATGAGCATTTGTGAATGCTTGATTATAAAAGCACCTCTTGTTGAAGTCTGAGCTACTTTCTTCATTAATTGGAGTTTGTCTTAGCAGTAGCCCTCTGTCTTTATCAGGAATGTTGATAATCCTCAACTGTGTGATATAGCTTGAAACAGGGTATCAAGCATAGAGGTGTATTGCAATCTGGGCACTATATGCAAGTCTAGCTTCTTTTACCTGCTGCCTTACACACTTTACAGTTTAGTTTGTACCTTGGCTTACTGCGCTCAGTAAGTTGTTATGCTGTGGCGTGTGGTCCTGAAGGTGTTACATTGTGCCGAAGAACAGCAGGTCTAATAAGAGCAAGATTGGCATCCTGCCTGAACCTCTTTGCTGTGATCTTATATATAGAGTTAGCAGTGTTGTAGCTTATATGCTCAGTGAGCAGAGCAGCGTCAACTAAAAATAAATATAATGGCAGGTACCATTAAAAGGATCTGGGTGGGTAAGGGTAGTTCGCATACAGATGGCTGAAGTGATTGACCCCCCCCAATACTGTTATTGTATTTTTCTGCAAGAATTCACTTTTTTATTATTCTGCCCTCAAGAATTCAACTTTTCCTAACTGTTTTGTCCATACCATCATTGCAGTAAACAGTAGATTTCAGGTGAACTCTCTTAGTGTCATGCCAGGTAATGGCCAACATGGCTTTATATTGTGTCACACAAAAAACAGGATGAGCTGCATTTTTCAGTTTCAATTTCTTTTCCTAATAAATCAATTGGCACACACCTAATTTGTGTGACGTGGCATGTTGTTGTTGTTCTTCATATGAAGGAAGATTGTCAAGCCTAACATGTTCATTTTAAGCAGCCTTTCTCCATTTACAAACAGCATTTTCAGCTGTAGAAATGTTCTGGTTTCTTGTGCCATGCCCACTTATTTCTTCAGATGTACCTACAATATCAAGTCTATCATCATTTTCACTACTTCCAGTTGCGACGTGACGATAACATTCACAGGTGAATCTCTACTTATCTAGGAATTATCGTTTTCAGTGCAACATTCGCAGGCAGATTCTGATTTATGAAAACTACTAGTTGGTTTTTATCACCAGACACGACAAAAAAAAACTGAATCTGGGCTGGTACTGAAAATTATCCAAATTTAACTGAAAACAACGCTTGTATCAGCTCAAAGCAATATCAATCGTAGGTTCAGCCAATTAAAAAACTATCAGTTTGCAGCCTGCATGACCGGAAGTCTGCAGATCGCCAGTTGGTCTGCAAAGTGTTAAATCAGAGATCCCTTATCAAAGTTTGATTCTATCAAAGACTGAAAGAAGCCTTCTTCGTAACTTCGGATAAATCTGACAAACACGTGTTTTATTTAAATATGAGGCTTTTAAAATTATAAATCTTGTTAGCATACACAAAATCTGCTCGCAGGCCATATTGTTTTCACACAACATCATCATCAGTTCTCGTGTGTGCACTGAGCTTCGACTTCATGCTTTTCCACCTGTGCAATCTTCAGTGCAGCATTCAAAGAGGACTCAGGTCACCTTGCTTTCCTCCATGTTGTTTTTGGGACTCTGTGTGAGATCTGTTTTCAGTGCACGTGTTTTCCATCATGTCACAAGATAGTAACACAGCTCATAAACATGCTGCTTTTAACCACATTTTAAAAACATAACAGGAAACACCATTCAAAACTTCCAGTTAAAAACATTAAGGCACCAGGGCTGTCTGGCAACCGGGGTAGTAACCAATTAGCACGTGATGGACTCAAAACTACAAAGATTCTAAAAGTAACATTTTTTATTTCAGGAGCTATGTGGTTTGTAAAAATATTTCTTTACTAGTATATAATCACATTTTAGAGAACAAGGCAATCAGTCACTAACTCATCACTGCATATTCTTTGTTGGAGGCAGAGAAACTTGTTGTCTAGCCAAACATAGAGTCGTGGAGTGTGCTTATTTCATGTTCACGCTGTTTGGCTCGAGCCTGCAAGAGAGAGAGACAGATCAAGGTGTTAGATTCTGCAGACCTACTAGGTCACATATTCTTAGGGAGATAAACTGACAAGTCTCAACACCTACTAGATAGCATTAACAGGTGAATGAAGTGTCCTGTCTTCACACCTACAAGATAACAGCATCACCAGGTAAATGAAGTGTCCTGTCTTCCCACCTACTAGATAACAGCTTTAAAAGATGAATGAAGTGTCCTGTCTTCACACCTACTAGATAAAAGCATCAAAAGGTTAATGAAGTGTCCTGTCTTCACACCTACTAGATAACAGCATCAAAAGGTGAATGAAGTGTCCTGTCTTTACACCTACTAGATAGCATCACCAGATGAATGAAGTGTCCTGTCTTCACACCTACTAGATAACAGCATCAAAAGATGAATAAAGTGTCCTGCCTTCACACCTACTAGATAACAGCATCAAAAGATGAATGAAGTGTCCTGCCTTCACACCTACTAGATAACAGCATCAAAAGATGAATGAAGTGTCCTGTCTTTACACCTACTAGATAACAGCATCAAAAGGTTAATGAAGTGTCCTGTCTTCACACCTACTAGATAGCATCACCAGATGAATAAAGTGTCCTGTCTTCACACCTACTAGATAACAGCATCAAACGATGAATAAAGAGTCCTGTCTTCACACCTACTAGATAACAGCATCAAAAGGTGAATGAAGTGTCCTGTCTTCACACCTACTAGATAACAGCATCAAAAGGTTAATGAAGTGTCCTGTCTTCACACCTACTAGATAGCATCACCAGATGAATAAAGTGTCCTGTCTTCACACCTACTAGATAACAGCATCAAACGATGAATAAAGGGTCCTGTCTTCACACCTACTAGATAACAGCATCAAAAGATGAATGAAGTGTCCTGCCTTCACACCTACTAGATAATAGCATCAAAAGATGAATGAAGTGCCGTGTCTTTACACCTACTAGATAGCATCACCAGATGAATAAAGTGTCCTGTCTTTACACCTACTAGATAACAGCATCAAAAGGTGAATAAAGTGTCCTGTCTTTACACGTACTAGATAACAGCATCAAACGTTTAATGAAGTGTCAGGTCTTCAAACATACCAGGTTAACTTTGATTTAATGGCATTTGTGTCGATCTCTCCCAAAGTTCCAAACTAGTGGAATCTATCCAACCATTAGAAGCAGAAGATGTAAATCGCAGCGAGAAAAAGAGTGTTAAAGTTATATGTAGAATCTGTGTTGTTGTATGCATGTGAAACCTGGACAGTAAGTTAACAAACTGAAAAACATTTTCTTGCAGCAAAGATGTGGTTTCTGAGACGAATGCAAAGAATATCATGGGAGGGTAGAAAACAAATGATGCAGTCATCGAGAACAATGAAAGTTGTAAACACTAGAACAATTAGTCAATGTATTTTTGGACTTGTTATGAAAAGAAATCAACTCGAGAACATGTAACAACTGGCAAGATTGATGAAAAGAGAGCAAGAGGAAGGCAAAGAGACAAATACCTGGATGGCCAGCCAAATGGCTGGGACGAGACAAAACATTTCTCATCAAGAATGTTTAATTTACCGTGCATCATACCTTGTGTCTGTACAGAAACAACAAATACCTTGTGTCTGTACAGAAACAACAAATACCCTGTGTTTGTACAGAAACAACAAATACCTTGTGTTGTTTGAACTGCTCATATTGTGGATCATCTGTCGGTAGTTCATGTCTGCACAATGGGCAAGAGTTTACCTGCAAAAATACAATAATCTGTGAATTTCATGTCTGCACACAGGGGCAAGAGTTTACCTGCACAAATAACAATAATATGAGTATTTCATGTCTGCTTACAGGGGCAAGAGTTCACCTGGAGAAACACAACAATAATTTGTGTATTTCATGTCTGCACACAGAGGCAAGAGTTCACCTGGAGAAACACAACAATAATCTGAGTATTTCATGTCTGCACACAGGGGCAAGAGTTCACCTGAAGAAACACATAAATAATCTGTGTGAGTATTTCATGTCTGCACACAGGGGCAAGAGTTCACCTGAAGAAACACAACAATAATCTGTGTGAGTATTTCATGTCTGCTCACAGGGGCAAGAGTTCACCTGGAGAAACACAACAATAATCTGTGTATTTCATGTCTGCACACAGGAGCAAGAGTTCACCTGGAGAAACACAACAATAATTCGTGTATTTCATGTCTGCTCACAGGGGCAAGAGTTCACCTGGAGAAACACAACAATAATCTGAGTATTTCATGTCTGCACACAGGGGCAAGAGATCACCTGGAGAAACACAACAATAATCTGTGTGAGTATTTCATGTCTGCACACAGAGGCAAGAGTTCACCTGGAGAAACACAACAATAATTTGTGTATTTCATGTCTGCACACAGAGGCAAGAGTTCACCTGGAGAAACACAACAATAATCTGAGTATTTCATGTCTGCACACAGAGGCAAGAGTTCACCTGGAGAAACACAACAATAATTTGTGTATTTCATGTCTGCTCACAGGGGCAAGAGTTCACCTGGAGAAGCACAACAATAATCTGTGTGAGTATTTCATGTCTGCACACAGAGGCAAGAGTTCACCTGGAGAAACACAACAAAAATTTGTGTATTTCATGTCTGCTCACAGGGGCAAGAGTTCACCTGGAGAAGCACAACAATAATCTGTGTGAGTATTTCATGTCTGCTCACAGAGGCAAGAGATCACCTGGAGAAACACAACAATAATCTGTGTGAGTATTTCATGTCTGCACACAGGGGCAAGAGTTCACCTGGAGAAACACAACAATAATCTGTGTGAGTATTTCATGTCTGCTCACAGGGGCAAGAGTTCACCTGTAGAAACACAAGAATAATCTGTGTGAGTATTTCATGTCTGCACACAGGGGCAAGAGTTCACCTGGAGAAACACAACAATAATCTGTGTATTTCATGTCTGCACACAGGGGCAAGAGTTCACCTGGAGAAACACAACAATAATCTGTGTGAGTATTTCATGTCTGCTTACAGGGGCAAGAGTTCACCTGGAGAAAAATATAACACCAGAGATGGTCCAATATATGAGAGTCGCAGGTGAGTGCCTTCTACTAAAGGTTCTCCAGGCAGCCTGGTGTAGCAAAACTATACCAAAAGATTGGGAGATTGCCATTATTATACCTATAATTTAAAAAGGTCATAACAGACAATGTGAAAACCACAGAGGCATATCCCTTCTCAGCAATCCTGGTAAAAGTTACTCCAGAATTATCAAGCAGAGACTTGGAAGTCTGGTAGAGCCACAGCTACAGCTGGATGAAGCCCAATGCGGCCAGGAACCCACTCATGGGCATTGACCTTTCAAATATGATATTCATGTCTGCACACAGGAAATCACTGAAGAAAAGAAAAAGAGAGGCAACCTTGTTACAACAACAACAGATCAAGTTAGAGACAGGAGACAAATATTACAACAAGTAGAGATCATGTTTGAGACAGGAGACACACATATTACAACAAGCTGAGATAAAGTCTGAGACAGGAGACACATTACAAAGAGAAAGAAGTTAGAGACAGGAGACACACATATTACAACAAGGACAGATGAAGTTAGAGATAGCAGACACACATGTTACAACAAAGAAAGATAAAGTTAGAGAAAGGAGACACTCATATTACAACAAGGAAAGAAGAAGTTAGAGACATGAGAAACACATGTTACAACAAGCTGAGACAAGATACACACATATTATAAAAAAAAGAGACAGAGACAAGAGAAACACATACTACAACAAGCAGAGATCAAGTTACAGACAGGAGACACACATATTACAACAAGCCGAGATAAAGTCTGAATGTTGAATGCTGAATTAAGAATCGACATAACAGCACTCTGGACACTCCCATAAGTGCTCAGATCCCATCTTTAGCAGCAAGCGAAGAGTTCTAATTCTGATGGTACCAGTAACCGTCTGACCGTATATCCATCTCATCCTTCCCCTGAGTGTTGAGCGTCAGCCAGATCCCCTAGTAACTCCTCGCAGCGCCATTCTCCTTAGACCGTAATGATCTATCTACACCTCCGCACTGTTCACTTGCTCCTAAAGGGTCCTCACAATATCTAATTTGTCATACATCAATTTATCACCAAGTGGTGCAAAGCCAGCCAGTATATCTGCCTGCTCATTTCCCAACACAACAGCATAACCGGAGAAAATATCCAAAGTATGCTAACTACCACGGCCCTCTAAAGTGATGCTTGTCACTGTACACGAAGCATGCCAGTTTTCACTTTTCTCAACATACTCTGTGAGTCAGTTACAATTACGGCATGTGTGTACAGCTGATTTTCAAGTAGCAGAGACTACCTCGACCTCCATTCTCAAACTAGACATTGTGATATCATTTGCAAGGCTTTGCTGCACTAGGCAACGTCCATTCGCCTTTGCTATGAAACGCCATGCACTTTATCTGCCCCTCAACACAGAGCTATCACTTAGGCGGGAATTGTCATGAATCATTTGTTGAACTTCTGATTCTGCAACACCAGCTGGCCAGTCTCTGAACTCATAACCTAACCTGATTATAACCTAAAGCAAGTCTAAAACTTATTTGGACACCTTGACCCAGTCCTCCCCTCACTCAAAATTATCAAGCCTGCACACATGTCTGATTGTGTCTTTAGCTTGCACCATCCAGGACCTTCCTCTTTTCAGTCTGTGACCCTTAGCTCTATGCAGGGCTTCATGCAGGAGGTGCTTCTTGTCTGCAGCTACTCTGAGAGATGACTTTGCCTGCAGAACTTTGAGCCTAACGGTAATAGTAGGCAGTGCAAGTATATATCACATTCATACTATTCTATTGGGGTATCTCTTGAACATCCCAGAATTACCCGCATGGCTTCATTATATATGCGTTCGAGTTTTATCAGTGGACTCTTTGATATGGCAAGCATTTCAAGTCCATAATCTATCACTGACAGGATCACATGCTGGAACAGCATTCTTTTGTTCCATGTCCATTGCTGCCACAATCTTTAGAGCATTGAGTCCTTTTTGGCATTTCACCATAACTGCCTCCACCTGATCCCTATAGGACAGGCTTCTATTGAAAGTGATACCCAGGTACCCCAGTTTGTTTTCTCTTTTGATGTTACTATTATTAACTGTGAGGTTTGAAATATCAGCTCCTACAATTTTATTGTCCAGAGAGCACCACAAAACAGCCACTTTTTCTGAGTTGATGACAGCCTCCATTTTTGCACACCAGTAAGTCACTTTGTCTAGTTGCCTGCAGCTCTTGGGCTATCCGTTGTCTATCATTCCCTTGCCTATATGCAAGAAATAAAGTCTGAGACAGGGGACACACAAATTACAACAAGCTTAGATCAAGTTAGAGACAGGAGACACACAAATTACAACAAGCTTAGATCAAGTTAGAGACAGGGGACACACAAATTACAACAAGCTTAGATCAAGTTAGAGACAGGGGACACACAAATTACAACAAGCTTAGATCAAGTTAGAGACAGGGGACACACAAATTACAAGCTTAGATCAAGTTAGAGACAGGGGACACACAAATTACAACAAGCTTAGATCAAGTTAGAGACAGGAGACACACAAATTACAACAAGCTTAGATCAAGTTAGAGACAGGAGACACACAAATTACAACAAGCTTAGACCAAGTTAGAGACAGGGGACACACAAATTACAACAAGCTTTGACCAAGTTAGAGACAGGGGACACACAAATTACAACAAGCTTAGATCAAGTTAGAGACAGGGGACACACACATTACAACAAGCTTAGATCAATTTAGAGACAGGAGACACACAAATTACAACAAGCTAAGATCAAGTTAGAGACAGGGGACACACAAATTTCAACAAGCTTAGATCAAGTTAGAGACAGGGGACACACAAATTACAACAAGCTTAGATCAAGTTAGAGACAGGGGACACACAAATTACAACAAGCTTAGATCAAGTTAGAGACAGGGGACACACAAATTACAACAAGCTTAGATCAAGTTAGAGACAGGGGACACACAAATTACAACAAGCTTAGATCAAGTTAGAGACAGGGGACACACAAATTACAACAAGCTTAGATCAAGTTAGAGACAGGGGACACACAAATTACAACAAGGACAGATAAAGTAAGAGACAAGAAACATATATTAAAACAAGGTGAGATTAAGTCTGAGATAGAAGGCAACAAGGAGAGATAAAGTAAGACATGACATTTGGCAGAAACAATCAAAGAAGAGTTATATGAATGACCCAGTAGAAAATATGCTTGAGACTGACACAGAAGAAAAAGATGCATGAGAATGACAGGCGAAAACATGCACATGAATGACACATTAGAAAACATGCAAAAAAAATGACACAGGAGAAAAAATGCACAAGAAGGAAACAGTAGAAAACATGCATGAGATTGTCATGAGGAATCATGCGTGACAATAACACAGGAGAAAACATACATGAGAATGACATAGGAGAAAACATGCATGAGAATGACAGGATAAATCATGTGTGAGAATGTCACAGGAGAAAACATGCATGAGAATGACATAGGAGAAAACATACATGAGAATGACACAGGAGAAAACATGTGAGAATGAAACGTAAGAACGACACAATAGAAAATATGCACGAGAATGACACAGGAGAAAACATGCATAAGAATGGAAGTAGAGAACACATGAGAATGACACAGGAGAAAACATGCATAAAGATTGACAGGAGAAAACATGCGTGAGAATAACAGTAGGAAAGATGCATGAGAATGACACAGGAGAAAACATGTGTGAGAATGACACAAGAGAAAACATGCGTGAGAATAACAGTAGGAAAGATGCATGAGAATGACACAGGAGAAAACATGTGTGAGAATGACACAAGAGAAAACATGCGTGAGAATAACAGTAGGAAAGATGCATGAGAATGACACAGGAGAAAACATGTGGGAGAATGACACAAGAGAAAACATGCGTGAGAATAACAGTAGGAAAGATGCATGAGAATGACACAGGAGAAAACATGTGTGAGAATGACACAAGAGAAAACATGCATGAGAATGACACAGGAGAAAACATGCATGAGAATGACACAGGAGAAAACATGCATGAGAATGACACAGGAGAAAACATGTGTGAGAAGGACACAGGAGAAAACATGTGCGAGAAAGACACAGGAGAAAACATGCGTGAAAATACTGAGATTTAGCAACACTAACCTTTCCTAGCCAGGGTAGTATACAGGCAGTGTGAAACTGGTGTTTACAAGGCAAAATTTTGCATTCCTCCTCTTCATTAAACTCCATCAGACACACTGGGCATTTCTTACCTTGTGCTGTATGGAACAGATACAAGCAGCCAGTGAATAACTGACTCCAGCACAGAACATCTGATGAGAATGCAGCCAGACCAAACTGCATATTTTTTAAAGCAGAACATTCGGAAGGAAGGCGAGAGGAAGACCAAGATAGAGATGGATAAATAGTGGTTAAAACCAGCTAAAACATGAACAAATTCATCACCCAAGCCACACAGGGAGCACAAGAAAAGTACAGAAAACTATGACACTGGGCTACAAGCTGGTAAGGCATACAAAAAAATATATAACAAAATGTTAATAATAAAATCTTTTAAACAAAAAGTTAATAATAAAATCTCACAAACAAACAAAAATGAATAATTAGTGATTACCAATTTAAGAATCAACAACAGAGCATGCAGAGCATACTAACAGATGCTCGATCTCCGGCACTAAATATCTTAAGGTGCAGATGCTAACTGTTACCGTAGCACACTGATTATGCAAACATTGTTCTCTTGTTCACAAACCTGCCTCCTTGCTGGATCCATTCCTACTTCCTCATTCACACATTGCTACACATGTTATTTCATCTAACCTCAAGTTTTCCATCAACGTTCATTCATATATAACCTTCAGAATATCTCCCTTGTTTAGTACATGGGAAAAAAAATTTATAATGAAACCTCACAACCAAAAAGTGAATGAAAGCTAACAAAAAGTTAATGACATTTCAATGCTTATATTGAAACAAAAACAAAATTACAAATGAAACTTCACACAAAGTTATTAACCTTTTGGAGATGATGCGGCCGAAATACTGACCCAAAGTGAAGTAGCCACAAGGAATAAATGCCTTGAGATTGGCTGGCAGGTTTTTGTACCAGCCAATCATATTGCTTCTCACTTTTCTTGCACAAGTGGGCTGTTTAATAAGGGCTTTTGGAAAAGTTTGATGTGTTCTGTAATTTTACACAAATTTTTTGTGTGGGCTTACCTGTGTCCAGCAATGGCAAAAATTCCTGTTGTGTCATATCAAACCGAAACAGCAGAAGGCATGAAAATGAACAGAATCATGTGTCAGAAGTATCTGAATGGCCTCCATGGGCCTTATTTCCCCAAAACACAAGTCTTAGGACTTATTAAAACTCAGGGTTCATAGCCAAATTTACCAATCAATTTCAAGGCTTTTCAAGGTCTTTTTCAAGGTCTCCTTAGTTTTCTTCAAGGTTGTCTCGGTGTAATACTGAAACAAGATTTTTGCCTTGTACAAGGATGTACGGAGCACACAATGTACTTCATTCGTGCCACATGTGTTGATATACCAGCACATATATCATCATCATGTAGCATTTCCTTTGTCCTGAAAACAAAACTTGGTCTCTCACCAGCTCTCCCGTCTCATGTACTTTTTTATACTCAAGGAGTCACTAATATCCTGTGCCCATCTTCGTGTTTGTCGGCCCCTGCGCTTGATATAGTGTTTGAAAATTTGTTTAAGACTTGGTGGTAGAGGGCAGCAAACTGAAGTCCTGTCTGTTCTGGACTTGGTACCTGAAATGGTTAGGAGGAGAGAGAGAGAGTCATGCAGAGAGGCAGGAAGACACATGCTGAGGTAGGCTGGGAGAGACAGTGTAAATATGGACAGATGAAGGTAGAGGAAAGAAGGAAAAGGAGTCTGGGGAAGGATGAAAAAACAAGAGGGAGGTATGGAGACATGAGGAAAAGTGGGGAAGGGACAGCGAAAGACAGAGAGGGAGACAAATACAGAAAGGAGGGGGATTGTAGATACAGAGATGGGCAGATAAAGAGAGAAGGAAGAAGGGAACGAAACAGAGATATGGAAGGAGGAAAATATGACAAAGAGAGTTGAAGGAAGGGAGACAGAGGGAGAGAGAACGGACAGGGGGAGAAGCAGATGCAAGCAGAGAGAGATGTAGACATAAAGGAGAGAGAGACAAAGGGACAGCATAGAGAGGCAAGCAGACAGAGGGAGAGAACCAAAGAAAGAGAAAAAAGGCAGAGCAGGAGAATGGGAGGGAGGTATACAAAGAGGAAGTGATGAAGGGAGGCAAACAGACATAAAGCAAGAGAGAGAGAGAGATATGGGTAAGGAAGGCAGTGACAAACACAGAGAGAGGGACAGGAAGAGAGACAAGATACATCAAAGAAAAAATAAAACAGCCTCAATTAAACTTCATCTATAAAAACATTCAACAACAATTTTCAGGTTAGTCATGTTTCATCCCAAGTTTTTTTTTTTAATTGCCTGCATAAATTATGCAAATCATAAAAGTTAATTTGAATAAATGTTGAAAAGTTCAGTTTGATTCATACATATTCTGTTAGTTCAAAGGTGCAATAGGCTTAAGGTGCTGCAGGCTAAGTCATATTTCAGAATAGCTGCATACATGGAGCATCCTCTGAATGAAGCTTTGGCTGCAGGTAAGGGTCAGAGGTTGAAAAGGGGAAAATTGGGCTGGTGTGCAGATAGTGGCCAGCAGGTGCTACGGAGTTGGAGGTCCAACAGTTGATTCATAACAATTCATGTCCAGGTGATCTGATTATATATTCAGATGGTTCGGTGTTGAGAGAAGTGCCTGGGGGTTCATAGCAAAAGCCAATGGAAAATCTTCAGTGCAAGACAGCCTAGCATATGACACCACAACATCTAGCATGAGAATGGAGGTGGAGGTGGTAACTGCAGCTCTCCTGTGGCTAGGGAACAAGATGCATACATATGACATAAATGTAACAGACTCTGAAAGCATGCTGAGAAAGGTGAAGACCGGAATGCTTCGAGCTGAGTGGCTAGCTTCACTGGAAAAGTTACTGGTAGTAAGCATACTTTGGATTTTTCTCCAGGCCATGCCAGCGTGGTGGGTAACGAACAGGTAGACAGGGTAGCTGGATCTGCACCACTGGGTGATAAACTGATACATGACAAGGCAGATGTGGTCAAGGCCCTTTGGGAACAAGCAATGGAATCAGCAGAGAAACAAGATTTTTATGACATGGAGAGAATGAGGCTCCTGGGTGCATCCAGAAGGTCTGGCCAGCTCACTACACTCAAAGGAAAGGCAAGATGAACATTTAACCAGATTGTGACTGATACCATCAGTATTGGAAATCTGCGCTGGCTGCTGAAGATGAGGATGGAGCATGCATGGGAATGCCCCGATGTCAATTCTTGACTCAATTTAATTAACTTAACTCTGTTAGTTCATTCATTTTCCTCACCGAATATATATAGTTTTGTATATGTTAATTACGTGCTTCATTTTTTAGAAATTGTGTATGTGTAAACTAAGAGAATTCCCCCCTGAAGGCTTCGTCTGTTCTGGCACTGAAACTCCAATAAAGCTCAGTCTCCAAAGGGTTAATGAAATCACACTAAATATTTACATAAAATCTCACAAAAAGTTTGGACTGAAATGTCATTAAAAAAAGTTATTTATATCTCACAAAATACTAGTGAAAAGTCAGACAAGTTAAAAATTAAATCTGGCAAAATGTGAATAAGGAAATCTCACAAGGTCACCGAAGAAGAAAAGGGAATCTCATAAAATGTTATTGGAATCTCATAAAATGTCATGATAAAATACAGCTGAAAGGTTTGGTAAATGACATTCAAGAATGGTACCAGCAACTTCAGGAGAGACTAGCTTTGTCTCTAGCTCCTCAACCACTTTTCTAGAGGCAGGTGGTGCTCTGCCTTCACCCCCAAAGAACCTGTTGTATTCCACGTCCCACTCAGAGGCCAAGCCTGAGTCTAACAATAACCTGAGGAAGACAAAGATCTCAAATACAATAAAGACAGATAGACAAAGTAACACACATGTGAAAACATTTTTAATCAAATAAAAAAATGAAAGTTTAAAAAAAAAACACATTGGAGAAAAAACAGATACAATATCAACACCATTAGCATATTCAGTCCATGTGGCAAGTTTCCTGAAACAGGATTGATACAATCAATGGGGCAAGTTTCCTGAAACAGGATTGATACAATCAATGCAGCAAGTTTCCTGAAACAGGAGTGATACAGTCAATGGGGCAAGTTTTCTTAAACAGGATTGATACAATCAATGCAGCAAGTTTCCTGAAACAGGATTGATTCAATCAATGGGGCAAGTTTCCTGAAACAGGAGTGATACAGTCAATGGGGCAAGTTTTCTTAAACAGGATTGATACAATCAATGGGGCAAGTTTTTTTAACCCTTTTAATGCTATGGACATAATTATACACCTGACCCGTAGGCTGCTAAGCAAGTATTTCTATGTCTTTTGTTGTCTGTGCGCTCATATGTGCGCTCATTGCTATGGACGTAAAAACAGATTTCAACTTTCCTTACGGATTGCTTAGGACCATAATTCTCGGGGGAGAAAAGGCAATACACATTACCTAAATCTAATCCATTTGACCAATTTACATACAAATATACCCTTAGCACGTGCGTTTAGATGTGTTCCACGTTATCCTGTTGCTTTATTTATCATACAAGCGTGATCAGCATATTTTTTGCCCTGAAATATATTTTTTATTTTGGGTTACTCTACCAAAAAGAAAAATTACAAAATAGCCAGAAAATTGTGGAGTTAAAGTAGATAATAAAGAAACTATCAGGCAAATTGTGGGAACGACACTGTGTACTAGATTTATTAAGAAACAGCATATCAAGTGGTCTGACCATCTTGTTAGAATGCAGCAAGGTCAAATACCATCACAAGCACTACATCTCAGAATATCAGCTACAAGAGCAAAAAAACGGTTGTGAAAAAAAAAATGGATTGACAAAATTAAAGACACTCTATGTCTTCATGGCATGACAAAAGTCAGTGGCACACATGATCACAGGATCACAAGTTATTCCTCCTCATAATGCTTAACGGCAGAAGTGGTTTATGATGATGATGATGAAAAAATTATTGGAGTTGCTTTCAAGAAGTAATAGAGCAAAACCATCTGACCCAGTCATCAAATGGTCAAGATCGACTGGATTTGAAATGGATCCTCAATTATCAAGAAGATGGTCAGGTAATGACATGATGATAACATATATGTTTCTTCTACTACTATACAACAGGCATGAATGTGTCATCACAATGTGCAATACTGGTCTATTTTTCAGTTATCATTTTTATATGAAATTCTAGTGTAGCTGGTATCATATCTGCCTTACGATCGAAAGGTTCTGCAATCAACATTTGTATGACTTTTTTTAGGGTAAATTTTAAATTTCAGCTCTTAGCACTTTCAGCAACATATCACTTAAGAATTTATTTTCAATTTTTGTTGTTGAAGTAATCACATAGGGAATACAATTATGATTAAAGTGGAAGCCGCGGTATATCTATCAATCAAATTTCAGAATTGTAACTCTGAGTCACGGCCCGCGGTGAAGTGCTAGGATTCTTTTGACCAGTTCTTCCAGTACCCTCCCCCCTTACCCAGTGGGGGTGAGGGGGCCGTAGATTTTGTCAGTTAAGTTTGTGGGGCCATGGAACAGGCCAGGGAGCAGTAAGAGCCTAGAATGCACTCTGGACAATGACTAGACACAAGCCAATGCTGGAGAGGACGATGAAGTAGAAAAAGGAAGAATGAAAATTGTCTTGCAAAGTCCACCTGCAAGGAATGTAAAGCGGCTAAAACATTCAAAGAATGTTCCTGCTGATGATCAGAAGGGTACTGTTGTCTTCGCTCCACTGTGGAGTTTCTACCACATATACGGTGGTGACACGATAAAACAGACTTAGACTTAGTAGAGGATTAACTTTCTTTTACTATCCCCAGTGAAACCGGGCAATTAAATTTGGTGGTGTCACAGTGCGCTTGACTTGTCAGCACTCCGGCCACCACCTACTTCCCTAGGTTGAGTATTTTTTAGTGTACAAAATAGAGCCTGATCTGCCAAGGCACTATTTGCTTCTGGGGGATAGAAATGTATTGGACACACAGGGAAGAATCAGCAGGGAACTTGCTTAGCACAGTGGTAACGGTGGCTGCGGTGAAAGGGTTAAACAAGATTAATACAAACAATGGGGCAAGTTTCCTTAAGTACTCACTGTGCCAAATGTAGACAAGGACTCACTGTGCCAAATGTAGACAAGGACTCACTGTGCTAGATGTACACAAGGACTCACTGTGACAAATGTAGACAAGGACTCACTGTGCTAAATGTAGACAAGGACTCACTGTGCCAAATGTAGACAAGGACTCACTGTGCCAAATGTAGACAAGGACTCACTGTGCCAAATGTAGACAAGGACTCACTGTGCCAAATGCAGACAAGGAGTCACTGTGCCAAATGCAGACAAGGACTCACTGTGCCAAATGTAGACAAGGACTCACTGTGCCAAATGTAGACAAGGACTCACTGTGCCAAATGCAGACAAGGACTCACTGTGCCAAATGTAGACAAGGACTCACTGTGCCAAATGTAGACAAGGACTCACTGTGCCAAATGTAGACAAGGACTCACTGTGCCAAATGTAGACAAGGACTCACAGTGCTAGATGTAGACAAGGACTCACTGTGCCAAATGTAGACAAGGACTCACAGTGCTAGATGTAGACAAGGACTCACTGTGCCAAATGTAGACAAGGACTCACTGTGTCAGATATAGGCAAGGACTCACTGTGCCAGATATAGACAAGGACTCACTGTGTCAGATATAGACAAGGACTCACTGAGTCAGATATAGACAAGGACTCACTGTGTCAGATATAGACAAGGACTCACTGTGTCAGATATAGACAAGGACTCACTGTTTCAGATATAGGCAAGGACTCACTGTGTCAGATATAGACAAGGACTCACTGTGTCAGATATAGACAAGGACTCACTATGCCAAATGTAGACAAGGACTCACTGTGTCAGATATAGACAAGGACTCACTATGCCAAATGTAGACAAGGACTCACTATGCCAAATGTAGACAAGGACTCACTGTGCCAAATGTAGACAAGGACTCACTGTGCCAAATGTAGACAAGGACTCACTGTGCCAAATGTAGACAAGGACTCATTGTACCAGATGTAGAGGACTCACCATGCCAAATGCAGAGAAGAGAAGGATTCACAGTGCCAGATGTAGAGAAGGATTCAGAGTGCCAGATGTAGAGAAGGACTCAGCGTGCTAAATGCAGATAAGAGAATGATTCACGGTGCCGCATGTAGAGAAGGACCCACGTGCCAAATGCAGAGAAGAGAAGGTTTCACGGTACCATATGCAGAGAAGGACTCACTGTGCTAAATGCAGATAAGAGAATGATTCACAGTGCCACATGTAGAGAAGGACTCACTGAGCCAGAGAAGGACTCAACATGCCAAATGAGGAGAAGAGAAGTATTCACGGTGCCACAGGTAGAGAAAGACCCACAGTGTCAGACGTGGAAAATAAGAGGACCCAGCGTGCCTGAGAAAGAGAGCAGATGGTGAGAAGGACTCACCGCACCAAATGTAGAAAAGAAGAGGACCCATCATGCCACAGGTAGAGAAGGACTCACCATGCCAGACGTGGAGAAGAGGACTGACTGTGCCAGACGTACAGAAGAGGAGGACTTACCATGCCAGATGTAGAGAAAAGGAGGACTTATAGTGCCAGATGTAGAGAAGAGGAGGACTTATAGTGCCAGATGTAGAGAAGAGGAGGACTTATAGTGCCAGATGTAGAGAAGAGGAGGACTTATAGTGCCAGATGTAGAGAAGAGGACTCACCGTGCCAGATAAAGATAAGAGGAGGACGCACTGTACCAGGTGTAGAGAAGAGGACTCACCGTGCCAGATAAAGATAAGATGAGGACGCGCTGTACCAGGTGTAGAGAAGAGGACTCACCGTGCCAGATAAAGATAAGAGGAGGACGCACTGTACCAGGTGTAGAGAAGAGGACTCACTGTGCCAGATAAAGATAAGAGAAGGACGCACTGTACCAGGTGTAGAGAAGAGGACTCACAGTTCCAGATAAAGATAAGAGGAGGACGCACTGTACCAGATGTAGAGAAGAGGACTCACAATGCCAGATAAAGATAAAAGGAGGACGCACTGTACCAGATGTAGAGAAGAGGACTCACAGTGCCAGATAAAGATAAGAGGAGGATGCACTGTACCAGATGTAGAGAAGAGGACTCACAGTGCCAGATAAAAATAAGAGGAGGATGCACTGTACCAGCTGTAGAGAAGAGAACTCACAGTGCCAGATAAAGATAAGAGGAGGACACACTGTACCAGATGTAGAGAGGAGGACTCACCGTGCCAGATAAAGATAAGAGGAGGACGCACCGTACCAGATGTAGAGAAGAGGACTCACAGTGCCAGATGTAGAGAAGAAGAGGACTCACAGTTCCAGATGTAGAGAAGAAGAGGACTCACAGTGCCAGATGTAGAGAAGAAGATGACTCACAGTGCCATATGTAGAGAAGAAGAGGACTCACAGTGCCAGATGTAGAGAAGAAGAGGACTCACAGTGCCAGATGTAGAGAAGAAGAGGACTCATAGTGCCAGATGTAGAGAAGACGAGGACTCACAGTGCCAGATAAAGATAAGAGGAAGACGCACTGTACCAGATGTAGAGAAGAGGACTCACAGTGCCAGATGTAGAGAAGAAGAGGACTCACAGTACCAGATGTAGAGAAGAAGAGGACTCATAGTGCCAGATGTAGAGAAGAAGATGACACAGTTCCAGATGTAGAGAAGAGGACTCACCGTGCCAGATGTAGAGCATGGTTTGGTGCTTGTCCATCTCCAAGAGGTTCACAGTCGTGTTCGTCAAAGTATGATGCCATCGATTTTAGAACCAAGGAACAATCAAGCAATCTGAAAGTGTCGGAAGTGAATATGCTAAAGTCTCAGAGGCAAATTATGTAACCGAGACTTGTTCAGTGGACCTTATAATCATTACATGAGTGTTAATTATTCACATGAGCAAACTACATAAATGAGTCTATTTTTAACAGATATCTAGTGGAAAAGTGACAGAATGTTATGAGGGGAACTAACAGATATGGGGGACTTACAGATATATATTGGGGAAAACTAATTGATTAAAAGGGAGAAACTAACAGATATGTATGGGGGGAGGGGGGATATTATGTTTTCTAATAGACTTCTTCTTCTGCCTTTCTATGGAGCATAGAACCTCAACCAACTCACGCTAAGTCGTTCTATCCTTCCTCATTACATAAAGCTCTCCCCATCTTTCTAACTTCATTCTCCAGCTCTCTTCTCCATGTGTTTTTTGGCCTTCCTTTGTGCCTATGGCCCTGTGGGTTCCAATGCAAAGACATTCTACTTATGTAGTTCTCCTGTTTTCTCAGTGTGTGTCCTATCCAACGCCAGTGTCTTTTCCACACCCCTTAGTCAACCAGAGCCTGTTTAATTCTCTCCAAAAGTTCTACATTAGTTATTCTATCATACCATTTAATTCCCTCTATTCTGCGCAGGCACCAGTTAATGAATGTCTGTAATTTATTAGTATTTGCCTTAGTTGTTCTCCATGTTTCCGCCCCATACAAAAGTACTGATTTGACATTAAAATAAAAAATTTTTAGTTTATTATTTCTTTTAATTTCTTCAGCTTTTTTGTCTATGCCTGGGATTGTTGTTGTAAATGTACAGTTAGGCTGTAGATCTATGCTGTATGCCTGGATCATTTCCCACATTAAAAGTCTTTAGAAAGGATGTCACTGTTTTTGGTGTAGTACAATTCTGATGGTGGACGATTTGTCTTTTCAGTCAGTTTTTAGTTAAGCTGTTGGCTGTTCTGTGCATAGGTTTGTTATTCATGCATTTACATTTTTCTGTTAGGGTAAGCACCTTTTCTTTCCTTCACTGACTCAAGCACTGAGGGCCAGAAGTTGCCTCCAGCTCATTGACTGGTGTGCTTCTCATACCTCCATTGAGGATTCTGAGACCAGTGGTCTTTATTTTGTCCAGTTTTTATAGATTTGATCGGGCTGCAGTGGAGTATGCTACCATGCCATACTCGTTTTGGTCGCACGTATCCTGTGTATACTTGTCGTTAAGTGTTGGCATCTGCACCCCAGCTTGTTTGAGTAAGTTTCTTTATAAGTCTGAGCCGCAGGGTAGCTTTTCTTTGGGTGTCTTCAATGTGGAGGCCCCAGGTTAGTCTTTTATTAAATTTTATTCCCAAACATATGTAGTTTTCCTCTTTTGGAAGGATGTCACCATCTAGGTATAGATCAACTTGTTCTAGCTTTGTGGAAAGAGAGAAGAGACAGTTTTGGTCTGGTTTATTGTGACTCCCAAAGAGTCTGTCCATTTCTTAACTGTATTGATAACTTCCTGCATTTTTGTTTTAGCTGTTCCTATATGATCAGCTTGGGTCCATATGGCCAGGTCATCTGCAGGTAGGGCCTTATGTACAGGAGTTGTAAACATTTTTTGGAGGTCATTGAGAAAATAATAAACGGGGTAGCAGATATAACACCTTCCTGGGAAACACCTTCTTGTAACCAGACCAACTTGCTTTTGTGCTCTTCTAGTCCGAATCTCGCACAGCGTCTGTAAAGAAAATCTCTAACCCAGGCAAAAATATGCCCTTTTATCCCACAGTGTGCTAGTTTTAGCAAGATTCTTTTCTTCCAGACCTTTTTAAAGGTTTTTGTCGGGTCGAAGAAAGAAGCTAACAGTTTGTATTTTTTTCTGGAAAGCATCTTCAATTTCTGTGCGAGATAAGAGGTTTAGTCATCAGTGCTTCTGTATATCCTGAAGCCTGATTGGCTGTCATCCAATATCTTGTTTTTTCTCCAGGAAATTAAGTAACCTGTTGTCCCCCAATCTTTCATTGCAGCTTAGGAGGCTTATGGGGCGGTAACTGAATTTGTTTTCCTTTGGCTTTCCTTTCTTGGCTATGGGGATTATTTCTGCCTCCTTCCATTCCTTTGGAAGTAGTCCCTGGGTCCAGGATTGATTGATAAGGTCTAAGACCCCTTGCCTACCAGCTGGTCCCAAGTGTACTATCATTCCATTTGTTATTCAATCAGGTCCATGTGCCTCCCTTTTTTAAGATTTCCTAATGCACATTCAAGTTCTTGGGGACTTGAGAGTTTATTCATTATATCTTGGTTATTTTCTTTCCTTTTATTGGTTTTCCTTAGCTCTATTGTCACTTCTTCTCTCACTCTAGACATCAAGATTCTGCTTTCCTCTGCAAAACTTTCAGCCAGCAGTTTTGAAGCTTGTTTACCAGTGAAAGTTTTTCTACCATCTTCAATAACAGTGTTGGCACGGCTGGTATGATTCGCCTCATTTAGACTCTTTACTAGATGCCATAGCTTTTTACTGTCTTTCTCCAGGCTGAGAGCTGCAGTCTTTTCCTGTCATTTTGTCCTAATGCATGTTTTTCTCTTCTATAAATAACCTGATGTTTATTGTTTTCTGTTACGCTGAGGTCCATTTGTACTCCTGCTTCTGTGATTCTTTGGTGCAGGTGTTGCAGTTTTTAGGTCCAGAAGGGTTCATAATTTTGCCTTCCACTTCTGGAGATTGATTTTTGTGCAGCTTCGAGTATAATACTGGTAAGAGTTGTATTTTTTCTAACATTAGTTGGAAAGGGCTGCAACAGCTTCTTTTCTGTAAAATTTTTGTAGAGGTCCCAGTCGGCTTTCTTGTAGTTCCAGCTGGCTCTCTTCTTCCTGTCTTCTGCTGGCTTGATCTCTCCTATCATGACAATGACTGGTTCGTGATCACTTCCTCCCAGCTGTTTCATCACTTTTCTGTCTGCCCGTTGTTGAACGTTTTCTGTAGCTATAGCTAGGTCTGGTGTACTTTGTGTTCACCATCGTCTACAGTAGAAGGCTGGTTTAGAGTCAGATCCACTGATTAGTATAAGGAGGTTTCTTCATCCATTCCTCTACCTCTTCTCCACTTGTGTCCATAGAAGCATAGTCCCAACAAATGGAATGACTTAAAGTCACTGAGAATTTCATATGAAGAAGGTATTGGCTCAGACTCCAGACGAGTAATCTGATTTAGTTTTCTATAATCAACACACATACATAATGAACCATCTTTCTTTTTTTTACCATTACTAATGGGGAACTGTAATTTGACCTGGAATCTTCAACAATTCCTTCCTGCTGTATTTGCTGATTCGGATTTTATATAATGCAAGGTACTTCATATGGTCTAGACTTGACTGATATTGATGAATTCAACTGGATATCGTAGTTGATTATATCAGCTTTAACAAGGTTGATTTGTGATAATGATTTATAGCCAAATATGATATCCCACAATTTTGATGTTTAATCTTTTGGTGCTTTTGGATGATCTTTTATTGATTTCCAGTTGACTTTATTTTTTTGTTGATGGCAGTTGAATGGGGTAACTTTGGATCTGCAGATGATTGTGATAAATGAGAAAAAAGTGTTTGAAACATGTTATTTTCATTCGATCTGATTAACATTAAATGTAACTGTTGGTAATTATTGTTCTAACATCCTAGCATTCTTCATGAACCTATTTTTTTTTAAATTTTGTATGATAAATTTGTACGAACATGTTTTTTACATGATTTTTTTTAAATAGCAAATGATAAGAGAAAAGGTCTAAAACTATAAATTCTACTCTGTCGTTGACGAAGCTCGGCCAGACAGTGACAATAATCTTGATATTGTGAGCTGAGTTGAGTCAAGAATTGACTTCACAGCACTCGGAGCATTCCCATGCATGCTCCATCCTCATCTTCAGCAGCCAGCGCAGAGTTCCAATACTGATGGTATCAGTCACAATCTGGTTAAATGTCAGTCTTGCCTTTCCTCTGAGTGTAGTGAGCCAGCCAGACCCTCTGGTTACACCAAGGTGCCTCATTCTTTTCAGGCCATATTATTCTTCTTTCTCTACTGATTCTGTTGCTTGTTCCAAAAGGGTCTTGACCACAGCTGCTTTGTCATGCATCAATTCACCACCCAGTGGTGCAAAACCAGCCAATCTGTCTGCCTGTTCATGACCCACCACACCGGCATAGCCTGGAGAAAAAATCCAAAGTATGCTTACTACTTGTGACCCTTCCAGTGAAGCTTGCCACTCTGCTCGAAGCATCCCTGTCTTCACCTTTTTCAGCAAGCTTTCAGAGTCTGTTACAATTATGACATGTGTATGCATCTTGTTCTCTACCACAGGAGAGCTGCAGTTACTGTGTCCACCACCATTCTCATGCTAGATGTTGTGGTGTCATATGCTAGACTGTCATGGATTAAGATTTTCCATTGGCTTTCGCTACGAACCCCCAGGCACTTCTCTCTCTCAGCACTGAACCATCTGTATTGATAATCAGATCACCTGGACTTCAACCTCCATAGCACCCCGCTGGCCACTCTCTGCACACCGGCCCAATGTTTTTATAACCCTACAAAGGTCATACTTTTCCCCTAGTACTCTGACCTACTTCTCTCCTCACCCAATGTTCTCCAGCATACATACTTGTCTTACTGTGTCTTCTTGAGCCATCCACGATTTTCCCCTTTCAGTCTCTGACCCTTGCCTGCAGCCAAAGCTTCACACAGATGGTTTTCCCTGTCTGCAGCTACTCTGAGGTATGACTTAGCCTGCAGCACCTTTAGCCTATCTGCAATAGTCGGTAATGCAAGGATGTATCGCATGCACACAATCGGGGTGTCTATTGTGCAACCCAGGATCAGCCGCATCGATTCATTCTGTATGCGCTCCAGAAATTATGCTCAATAATGCATGTGCTAAACCTATAGCCGATAATTTAGGTTACAATGAAGATTGAACAAAATATTTTAATTAGATCATCTGT